GGAAGGGGACCTTTTTTTTTAACCAGTGCATATCATAAACTTATTCAACAGGCATTCTTTGAGCATCAGCTTGCGTTACCTGCTCCCTCCTCTTAAATAATACATAGTATAATACATAAAACACTTCCCTTATCACTTATAACTAATTTTTTTAAAGCGATACATTGGTAGGGGAAAATGCTCTATGATAGAATAATACTAAAGGGTATTAGTATTTTTCTAATAATAAACATATTTTCTAATAATATCCATGTGAATTCTTGGGACCAATAAAAATTATGTCTCTATCCAACCAATGAATATGATCCATTGTACTTTTTTACTTGAAGTATTTTTAACTAGGAAAAACTAAGCCACTTCCAAGCAATGGGGATCCTATGATGTAATGGGCATGGGTAGAATTCAAAATTGAGAGATCCATGTTCTACTTATGGCTCCACAGGAAACCATATTTAAACTATGATCCAGCTTCTCAATCAGGAAGATAGGATACTAATGCTTATCTCCTCTAAGAAAGACTCCATTCTAATATAAAGTATATTACTGTTTTTGAGATGTGTGTTTTCATAATAACGATTCAAAGTAAACTATTAATCTAGGCTTTGTGCTCTAATAATACCTAAAATCCAGGAAATATTTTACATTTAGCTATCCACAGATCTAGAAAAGAAATCAACATCTCCTGTTTCCTGCTCATTTCAATCCATGACTAAACACCTAGACACTTCAAGGACAGCAGTCCTTTGGGAACATAAAACTATAGCAAGAAAGAAATGGCTATAAGAAGACGTCATGGCACCAAAGCCACATAAATTGTAGGGCTAATGTTTTCCAATGAGATGAATATGATACTCTCAAGAAAACTCTTAAGAAAGAAAAAATAGTAACACAGGGAAAATGAAGCTAGAAAAAGACACCTACTTAACAGGAAATAGCATTCAGGGTTACCAATAGGGAAATATACATTATAACATAGTGCTACTACATAAGGCATTTTCCTACAAAGACTAAAAGTTCCTAAAAAACAGAAAGGGAATTCCTCATTCCAAACAGCCTATGTTGAAGAGAACCTATAAAAACTTATATAAGTTGCCCAAAGGAAAAAAAAAAGTCATTTCCACAGCAAGAAAATATGTGTACATTTGTCAGCTAACTAAGCAGAAATGTTCCACTTAGACTACACCCTTCAGGTAGAATGAAAAATGGTGTGTGCTGAATGGCCAATGTTTAAAACAGTGCCGCTACTATGTGACTCAGCTGAGTGAATGTTTCTTTCATATATAGTCCTACTTTTTTGTGTACCCAATTTACTATACTATCCAATGTTAATGCGATTTTTATCACAAATTGGATTGGTTGTTTATACTAAAATTAATCTTTTGACACTCATGATATATGTTTTAAAGTATGCTCTGATACCTAAATAATGAAGACACTTTCCAAGAAGAATTATATGACATAAACTCCAAATACGGTAAAATGAGTGAATTCAACCACTTTCCTAAACTGATCATCTGTTGGTAGAAACACAGATAAACTGCAGTCAGTGAGACATAATCAATCACATCCTAACAAGTGCTTATAGAAAACTAAGTGAGGAGATGAAGTAATATAATCAAGAATAGTCCTCCTTTCATCCTTTCTGTTTCTCAGTTGTATTAATTCACTCATTCATAGAGCAAATGTATATTGAGCACTCATTATTTGGCAAGCACTAAGGATACAGTAGTGAACAAGACAACTCATGGACATAGATGGTTGTGATAATGATAATGATTATGATGATGTTGATGATTATTATAACTTTGAAAGAAGTAAAATGTAATTTCATGATGACAATCATAACAATTATCATAACATTCAACAAAGTAGATTCTATTATTTATTCCCATTTTGCAGATGAGAAAATTGAGACTAAGAAAATTAAGTACCTTGTCTTGTGTCACACAGATAGAAATAGGGGGAAAAGTAAGTATTGGACCCACTGTATACTCTTAAGCTACCCCACCACCACCACCACCATAATGTATTAAAGACTAGAAATCATCAAACCTTGAGCTAGGCCACTCACAAACCTTATCTCATTGAATCTCCAACAAAAATCTGGTAGTAGGGTCAGTATTATTCAGCTACATTAGTATTATGTCAATGCTATGGTACTATGAAAGTTTGAAAAAAAATTTTTTTAAGTAGGATTCAGACTAGGGCAAGAAGCCCTTCTACTGCTCTCTCTTCCCCCACAACTCCACTTCTTTTTAAAATAGAAATCCTGCCCAAATCCCTACTGATGTTTTTATCTAGAAACTAACAAGGCCTACAATTTGTTATCCTCCCTGAAGTCTCTACTTGGAGGACCAAACTTTAAACCAACGCATTTTGGTCCTAATTCATCAGAGTTTACCACTATTATAAACCCCTTTAAAATCTGCAAGTACACCTACAGAAACTGAATCAAAGTTAGGAGAAACCACGACAGAAACGTTCAAGTCATCTTCTCTCTCAGTCATGGGCCAAACACCTGTGATTTAAAAAAAGAAAAAGTATTTAATCATAAAGTAAAACCTTCTGTATATAGTTTTTCTTTAAAGGTGTGTCTATACCACATATAAAAAACAACCCCATATCATACTCACGAGTTGAAAAAACTAATGCATTACAGTATTAGAAGCTTGATGCTAATTCTTTCCCTCTAAAATATGGTAAACAATATTGTCTTTTTCTGAAGATATTAGCTAAGATGTGAGCCATTGACTGACCAGCATTAGGAATTTCAATGCCCTCTCTTTAACTACAAGTGGAAGCCCAAATCAGTATAGCCCTTTTGAAGGTAAGTTGGCTAGAACTATCGAAGTGTAAAATGTACATATCCTGTGACTTAATTCTACTCCCAAGAATGTATCTAATAACCATAACCATGCCCAAGGAGGTCTCTAATGTTAGTAGTTATTTTTTCAGAAATGAAAACAACCTAAATATCTATATATCTATTAACAGGCTAATTGTTAAATAAATCATGGTATATCTGTACTATGCAGTGTCCCAAAGTCATAAATAAGAGTGTTGTCCATCTTTACATGCCTATATTTTAAAAACTCCAAAATACGTCTACTAATTTTTAAAAAGCAAGATGCAGTACAATGTGTCTAAAATGCACATATTTGTGTCAAAGCAATTACATAAACATGAATATTTTCTAGAAGAATACACAAAAAATCTTGATAAGGATTGCCTTTAAGGAGTGGAACTAGGATCTTGGGTTGAACAAAGATTCACCTTTCATTATTTATCCTTCTAGTACTGAATTATTTTTACTATATGTTATTTTCATAATTTTAACATGTTATATTGCATAATGAGATACTTATTCATAGTATCAACAAAGATCTTAAACAAAAAAAATTTTTTAATTACATATGTATTTTTATATATATATACAATATATATCTCAAACTATTGGCTGCCTACTTAACATGCATTCTTCCCTCCTTCCTCTGTGTATTGGAGACCTAATTTTGTTGAGCTATTCACCTTCATCTCAGAGAAAGTCACCCCTCCCAGGCTCCAGGGTCAAATCCAATCATGGTGATTTCCTTCCACTGACCATTTGTTGTTTTAGGCATGAACATGGTACTTAATCCTGGCAGATGGAAGGTAAGGGAAGTTGGGAGTGGAGAGAGCTGGCACATGTTTCTGGGAAAGCTATTCCTCCCTAATAAGAGGAGAGACTCGGGAGAAATAGCCTGATGATTCTTCCCTAGAAATCATATCTGCACATAACACCTAGAATTGCTGAGATCACCCTGTGACCCTGAGAGGAAACATCCCCCACACTCCGAGGATGGCTGACTGAAAATACGAATCAGCTGTCTCACAAAAAAAGGAACTGCCCACAACTGCTATCGGGCATTCCCACCAAACTGCACAATTTGGAATGGGAATTTCCATAACTTAATGAGAGTACAAATGGCTATTCATTGGCCATCCCAATAACCATTCTTCAATTCTTTTTTACTTAAAGCCCAACTTTATGCTAAGCAACAAAGTACTCAGCTAAGTCATGTAATTTCCCAGCCAGTTTTGCAGCTTGGAGTGGCCGGTGAGATGTAAGTAGGAGCTATTCAGGGTGTGGCTTCCAAGAAAGCTCCTTAAGGGGGCTGACTCAGCAACAGATGTGAGGGCAGGAGTTCCAAAAGCCATGCTGGACCAATATATGACCCCAAGATAGAAGGAATCAAGAGTCCCTGATGACTGTGGAACTGCCAAGCCAACCCTGGACTGCCCATCACTGGGCTTCTTTCGCAAGAGAAAGAAAGAAACCTCTATCTTACTTGGGTATCTAGTGACATGTAGCCAGACAGAATCCTAAATGAACAATGTCACAAAATACAAATGATGCTACTACTCAGTGGTATCATCAGCTTAGTTATCCTGGACATTTCAAATGGGGTGCAGACTTCCGTTTATATCCCCACGTCTTACTGCTATCTGTCCCTTTCTGAAGACACAGCTGTATGGACACCTATCTCAATGTTGCACCCAGTCCTTCATACTCACACCAGGCAGACAACATGATCAACTATCTAAATCATAAAAAAAATTCTGTCTTTGAAAGTTCCTACCAGTAGATGTTGTTGACTACCAGTAACAAAAATACTAGGCAGGATTCACATTAATGAGTTGAGTATGAAAAGCTTCAGAATCCATGAGCCATACAGAAATTATTACTATGATTTCATGCTTACAACATACATTCCTCTTATAACTTATACACATAAAATCAGCTTCAAAAACACTTTTATTACAGTAGATAATATACACCATGTGTACAACAAAATGTACTCTTTAAACTGGCTTTAAATTTTGCTGCAACTCTTCCTTTGAAAACACTTTTAAAAGCTTTAAATACTGAACATAACCCACAAGACTATGAACATTTTTTGTAAGTTAAAGCCTCCATACTAAAATAAGTGACATTAAAATGAATAATGGGGTCATCAAAAAGTTCAGCGTTTTAACTTCTCATAATAAAGAGAAGCTAAAACTGTAATAAAACAATTTTGTGCTTTTATATAATTACAGGTATTTTAATAAACAAATATACCATGGTTTTATAAGGGTACAAGATACTAATTTTTTTTCCATATCTAGAAATAAAATGTTCTAAATACCTCTCAGTTTAAAAAGTTTCCCTTTGTTTCTTTCCCAGAAATAAAACTAAATGATGGTGGCGTAGAAGGAGCAAGGAACTTCAAACATTAATTAAAAATTAAGGTTATGTAAATCATGTACTTTGCACCTAAGTCTGTGGGTGTATCCCTAACTTAATTAGCAGTTATTTTAAGATATACTGAAGGATCAAGGTAATGACAAGTAAAAGAGCCTAAACTTTCTCACCCAAAGTCATCACTATAACCACCAAGAAATAACTTTTAGCTGTAAGGGATTTTCTGAGAAATTTCATATTCAATTAATGTTAATCAAAATATTATTGGCACATTACTGTGGAAAGGGCAAAATCTCAGGACAAAATTTGAAATGAAAGCCATATTATTTAATGAACTCTGGAAATTTCATGTTTCATGCCTATGTCACTCTTCTCCAACTATATTTTTAAATAACAAAACAAGACTTACAATTCTATTAATTCCAAAATTGCTAGTAACAAAAATTGAAAAAAAAATTGTATACTGCAGTATGACACATTCAGTTTTAACCACTCTCTATTTGACATGGCAGTGCTGACAACAAATAGGTTTTTAAGTAATTGTAGGTACTTGAAAGACCTGAACTTCACTGGTTTACTCTCAAAACTTTCTAAAAGAATGTGTGAAACCAAAGCATAATAACTTTATTTTAATATTTGTATTTTTAAAATATATTATCTCAATTCACCAGAGGAATACAATGTTGGTAACATAGACTCAAAAGTACATAAATCTAGTAAAATGATTGGATCAGGATTAAGATTGGCTCTGTTGTTTTGGTTGGCTTTTGATGCTCTGCTTCTTTTATTATTCCTACTTGTTTTAACATTTCTTTTATGTGAAAATAGTCCATATTTTTTCTCATTAAAAAAATACTTTTACCTGACCCTGAAAAGGGAACTTGAAGTAATGCTTTTCACATGTTCAACTCAAACTGCAGGATTGGTGTTTTGTTTCTCCTTTTAATTTACAAAAAAATTATACCCTTGTGAGTCCCAAAGTAAGATAATATTGAGTTATTCAAAACTCAGGAACTGAAAATATCATCAGCCTCTGAGTCATTAGAAATCAGCATACTGCAAGCTACACACCATTTGGATGGTTAATTAACTACAAACATAAATTATGTCACTAAGCTGCAAATGACTACATTTTTAGTAACAAATGGTAGCTCAAGTGCTTTGCTTTCTTTTAAAAGAAGAACTAAAGTTGTTTCAGGAATATCAGAGTTAAAAAATGACCACTCTAAATTTTAATGCTCTTCTCAAGGCCTAAAGCCACCATCCAAAGAAGTACTTCTTCCTTTCTTAGCATGTAAAGAAAAAAACTAGATAGTGCTGTCCATGAAACATTAACAACAAAAGCATTTTCTTAATTAAAATATATTTTCAGAAGCTATAACATACAAAGCAAACATAAAGACCTTGTGTGCTAAAGAGCAATACTGTTTTTACAAATATGACTTTAATTAAGCCTAGAGGAGAAAACTAATAAATATACATAATAATATCTACCTACAAGATAATGTGAATTTCACAATGAATACTAAAATAATAAAAAGCTGCAAACGAGATACCTTGTGATTTGTTAACATCTTTGATGATTTTCTGAAGTTCTTTCATTTCTACATCAAGTTCATCATAGTTTAGTTCTCGAGATTCAACATTTGGAGCTTGGAACAGAGAAGGATCTGTCCCCAGGTATGAACACTGCAAGTGACCATCATCACTCAGAGTGACTATCACTCCCTTTAAATCACTACAATAAGGAAGAGAAAATGAGACATAATTTTAAATTTCAGTAGAGTTAGTCTTGACCAACTACATTTTTACTCAATTCAGCATCAACACACCATTAAGAAAATAACTATATATCTATTTCTAAAGTTTTACTTCAAAGACTCAGTTCAAATGTTTCAAACATGATTTGTATTTACAGAAGTACTCCCAATGTTAAGGTCCACTAAGGCAGGGGAAAAAGCCTAATTATTATAATAGCTACCACTTTTGGGGACCTAACTACAAAGCAAATCTTGCTCTAAGAGCATTTTAAGTACTGTTTTTAATCCTCATTCCAGCTACCACTTGGCATATCCGTAATAAGCATATGAATAACACTTGCGGAGGTACAATGGACCAAGAGATGGAGCTGGGCTGCTGGCTGGATGAAGACTAGGAATGAGGCACAGGAGTGAAGACAGGACAATCCAGGGGATAGAATAGTAAACAAAGTTGATATGGGAAGCCATCAGAGGTCTTGCAAAAAAAAAATGTGGCCCCTGGTCTTTCCTCATCCTTTTCCCTCTCTACCCTTAGGATTCACGTTTGCCCTCTTTCCCAGGTACTTCCATCACAGCTTCCTTCACACGCTCTCCTACTCAAGTGGCTCTCTGGTTTGTACTCTCTTTCTCTTCACTTTTAGCAAGAAGCAGCCAATTGTCCCATTTACTAGCTCGTTCTCTATCACTGTTTTTATTCTCATTATCTTTTTTCCTCCCCATTCTTTCACTCTTCCTTCTCTCTTAGGCTCCCTGAGGTCTATTTTACTCTAGAAACTAGCCATAATATACAAATTATGGATAATATTAGCACACCATTTTTTTAAATTTGTAAGTTTTTGTGAACATGTCATAAAAAGAAGCTGAGATGAATACTGTATTTGCTTCCTCCCTAAGTTTGCCAGAAAAACAAAAAAATTCAACATCGTCATAAAAGCTGTTTTGAGTTGATACATAATGGATTTGTTTGACTCACTTTTGTTTGTTAGGTTTTCTACAGAAACTTTTGATTTTTTTAAAGTATTTTCTACTCTGTTCTAAAGGTTAGATATTAATCAAAAATAATAAATTGGCACAGTGGCACATGCCTGTACTCCCAGCTACTTGATGAGGCAAAGAATTGCTTAAGCCCAGCAGTTTGAATCCAGCTTGGCAATATAACAAGGCCTTGTCTCTAAAAGTAAACAAAAATAGAAAAATTATGAGAGAAAAGAGACTTTAAAATGTTGCTATTCATCTGAAAAAAAGGACATAAAGTATATAACAGATAAGGCATGTTAGAGTCTAGGCTTATTCAGAATGAACAAAAATGTTTAAAACTTCCCAACAGTGGATCATGGCAGGTAGTCATTTCATTAATCTAAAAGCTTAACTGGGTTGGGAGTAGATACAACCATTGCTCAGTTCTGCCCATAAGATGGCCACCAGCATCCACTTCACCACCTGCCTAAAACACAACATTCCAATACACATCGTCTCCAGGACTCAGGTATAGTCAGTGACATGCAACCCTGTCGTGTGGCTTGAGAGGAATAAAAAAATAGATTGTTGTCACTGGTTCAACAGCTAAAGAACTAGACTAGGACTCAGGAGACTTGAGCTCTAGCTCTGATGCTGCCCCTATAGAGCTCAGCCAATTTGGGAAAGTTTTTCTAAATATTCTTTATCTGTAAAATGAGAAGGTAAGACTAATCTTCAAAAACTTTAAGTTTTATGGTTGCTTCTGTCATCTACCCCTCAGAAAACAAATACTGCAAAAATGGAATGATCTTCCTAAAGTATGAAAAGCAACCCCAGAGAAAGTTTTGAACCTTTCTTTGCAGGTAACTGAAGCCACCTAGTGGCCATGGAAATCCCAACTTTCAGCTCTGACAAGCCCATTTCCAGACAGCAAACCTTCCCTTCACTCTGAGTTGTGACTGTGGTCTATTCCCCCTTCTAGCCAGCCTCACCAAGGCCTATGAACCCAATGAGTCCTCAGGAAACTCTAGGGTGCTAAAGCACAGACCTCTGCAGGGGCTTCTCAGAGAATGTGAGATTCACCAGTTCTTTGAATTCAAACAGGCATTTCCATTTCATCTTCATCCTTTGAACAGTCCATCACACAGAAAAGCTAGCATTACCCAACACAAGTATTTATCCCTAACTAAATTGATTTGGTCTTTGAGGTGAAAAGTTTATTACTAAATCAGTTTTATTCCACCAGTTTAGACAGCAAATAGCAACAATTTAGATACAAGGCATTTATCTAAAATATTATCTGAATCTATGAAGTTTCTGAGTTCAGATAGGAAGAGTTTGGATAATAGAGAATACATATATTTCTTCAGGCTCTCTAAAAACATTTTTACTGGTATTTCATGTGTACAAATGGTAAAGAGAGTAGCCAGGGTCTTCCCTCACCAAAAGAACAAATTTCACCAGAATGTCTTGATAGCTAAGGTAATTACAGAACTTAAGCAATTTATTTTTTATAAAATCAATGGGAAAAGACATTATAGGCTGGGGATGGTGGCTCACGCCTGTAATCCCAACATTTTGGAAAGCCGAGGCAGGTGGATCACTTGAGGTCAGAAGTTCAAGACCAGCCTGGCCAACATGGTGAAACATCATCTCCACTAAAAATACAAAAATTAGCCAGGTGTGGTGGCAGGCACCTGTAATCCCAGCTACTCGGGAGACTGAGGCAGGAGAATCACTTAAACCCAGGAGGCAGAGGTTGCAGTGAGCCAAGGCCATTGCACTCCAGCCTGGGCAACACAACAAGACTCGGTCTCAAAAAAAAAAAAAAAAAAAGACATTATAGCTTATTTGTTTCTTTTTATGGCTGAGTAGCACTCCCTGATGATTAGTGATGTTGAGCACTTTTTAATGTGTTTGTTGGTTGTTGCATATCTTCTTTTGAGAATTGTCTATTCATGTCATTTGCAAAGATATGAAACCAACCTAAGTGCCCATCAACCAATGAGTGGATAAAGCAAATGTGGTGAATACACACCATGGAATACAACTCAGCCATAAAAAAGAATGAAATAATGTCTTTTGCAGCAACTTGGATGGAGCGGGAGGCCATTATTCTAAGTGAAGTGACTTAGAAATAGACAACCAAATATGGTATGTTCTCACTTATAAGTGAGCGCTAAGCTATGAAGATGCAAAAGCATAAGAATGATGACATGGACTTTGGGGACTGGCAGGAGGGGATGGTTGGGAGGGGGTAAGGGATAAAAGGCTATATATTGGGTACAGTGTATACTGCTCAGCTGACAGGTGCACCAAAATCCCAGAAATCACCACTAAAGAACTTATCCATGTAACCAAAAACCACCTGTACTCTAAAAACTATTCTTTTTAGATGAGATTCCTAGAGCAGTCAGATTTGAAGAGACCCAAAGGTGAATGGTGGTTTCCAGGTGCTGGGGGAGGGTGTTGAGAGATACAGAGGTTTACTTAGTAAAGATGAAAAAGTTCTGGATATGGATAGTGGTGATGATTGCACAGCAATATGAATGTACCTAATGTCTAATGTCACAGAACTGTACATTTTTAAATGTTTAAAATGGTAAATTTTATGTTATATATATTTTACCACGATTTAAAAAAACACATAGCACCAAAAAAAGGGTGAATGAATAAATTTCAAAAATCTGTATTAAGAATGATAATACAGTATGTAATTTGTTTAGGGACATTAAAGCCTTCAATCTTGTATTTCTTTATCATTTTCTTTTTGTTGTTGTTGTTGTTGTTATTGTTGTTGTTGTTTTGAGATGGAACCTCACTCTGTTGCCCAGGCTGGAGTGCAGTGGCGTGATCTCGGCTCACTGCAACCTCCACCTCCCAGGTTCAAGTGATTCTCCTGCCCCAGCCTCCCAAGTAGCTGGGATTACAGGCGCCCGCCACCACACCTGGCTAATTTTTGTATTTTTAGTAGAGACGGGGCTTCGCCATTTTGGCCAGGCTGGTCTCAAACTCCTGACCTCATGATCCACCTGCCTCGGCCTCCCAAAGTGCTGGGACTACAGGCGTGAACCCTGCAACCGGCCTCTTGTTTTTAGTTTTTCAAAAAAATTCAATAGTTTTTGGGGTACAGGTGGTTTTTGGTTATGGTTTCAGGTTTTAGATTTAAGTCTTTGATCCATCTTGAGTTGATTTTTGTATAAGGTGAGAGATGAAGATCCAGTTTTATTCTTCTACATGTGGCTTGCCAGTTTTCCCAGCCCCATTTATCGAATAGGGTGTCTTTTACTCAATTTATGTTTTGTATGCTTTGCCAAAGATCAGTTCGCTCCAAGTTTGGCTTTATTTCTGGGTTCTCTATCCTGTTCCATTGGTCTATGTGCCCGTTTTTGTGCCACTACCATGCTGTTTGGGTAACTACAGCCTTGTAGTACAATTTGAAGTTGGGTAATGTTATGCCTCCAGATTTGTTCTTTTTGCCTAGTATTGCTTTGGCTATGCGAGCTCTTTTATGGTTCCATAAGAATTTCAGGATTGTTTTTTCTAGTTATGCGAAGAATGATAACAGCATTTTGATGGGAATTGCATTGAATCTGTAGATAGCTTTGGGCATTATGGTCATTTTCACAATATAGATTCTTCCTATCCTTGAGCTTGGGATTTGTTTCCATTTGTTTGTGTCATCTATGGTTTCTTCCAGCAGTGTTTTGCAGTTTTCCTTATAGAGCTCTTTCACCTCATTGGTTAAGTATATTCCTAAGTTTTTTTGTTGGTGGTGGTTTTTTGTGGGTGTGTGTGTGTGTGTGTGTGTGTGTGTGTGTGTGTTTGCAGTTGTTGTAAAAGGGACTGAGTTCTTCATTTGATGTTCAGTTTTGTTGTTGTTAGTGTATAGCAGTGCTACTGATCTGTGTAAATTGATTTTGTATCCTGAGACTTTACTGAATTTGACCTAAGAGCTTTTTGGATGAGTGTTTAGAGTTTTCTAGGCATAAGATCATGCTATCAGCGAATAGTGACAATT